GTTACTGCAAACGCAAATCAGCTAGTCCTCGCACAGTCAAAACAGAACAATCACCCGACAACCAAAACAGAACAAACCGTAAAGACCGGTACCAGGCAGTTAGAGTCAAAAGAAAAAAGGATACCTGACATATCGATCAGTAGACAGCGATTGGGAAGCTACGAACATCTCTACCGCCAGACACTTGATAACCGTGTACGTTCGATCCAACATGACTGGCAATCAAGAGCTATCCAACTAAAACTTGGGAACACGACAGAAAACTCATGCGGATGCACAGCACAAGGAACACCAGAATCAGCACTGAATGGCTGAACATGACCCACTACACCGAAACCACACGAAAATTGGCTGGTTGTTGAGGAATCTCTTCCAAAATAAAAGGGGAAACCGCGGACCATATCACACAACAGTCCCCAAAGAACTCTGGGGTCATGCCATTTCACGACCGACGTTATAACATGAACAGAAATCCGATCGATGATATCTGGTTGATCACATACAAGCAAACCCTTAACAGAAAACAATGAAAACACGACAAGGCAAGGGGACCTGTTCAACACCAATTGGCAATACAAACGTCAAAACATATACAATGGCGCTTCCCATCCTCACGAATAGACGAACAGCTGATAAACCAGAACCTGCGAGGCAACACTCGGAATCTATAACGCAAACTCTCCTCAAGTTAAATCATTCACTCACATCGGGGGGGCCATACTAGAAGCAACCAGAGCCTTTGGCAGTTAACTCCAAACAACTCACGAGACTGACACATGATGATATACCACTTACAGGTACTCGGCACGCCCACACGTTACAGAAGCACAAGCTATCTTCCATGCCCGATACAACTCAATTCTGCGTTCCGCGCCCTATGCCAAGCTCTTGCAAACCACACCATACGATGGCCATGGTTATCCGAAGGTAATGCGGTGAGTAACCCATCTGATAAGCGCTAAGAAAGACAAGACAACAGCGTACCTGTATCCACACATTATTCATCTGGGGCAGACAATCCGTCCATTCTCATGAGTATGTAAAACGAAATGTTTCAACACTACACAAGGCTGAAAGGAACATTTCAGTCAACAGCACAAATAAAACACCAGAGGACGAGATCTAATGCAGGAGTGAAAGACATATGGCCGCTATTGTATAGCGGTACTGCCCCAACCGAAGGTCATTCAGATCCAAGTACCCTGACCTCAGAGCATCTGTTTGCAACAATCACGGCAGAAAGTAACCCAAGTGCCTCCAACAACTGGCCTTGAGACATATCGAACTTGCGAATACAACTTAGAGTTGGTGCCAGGCCAGCGTTATGGGCAACACGTTCGACCGCACACAAACAGGCTACCCTATCGTTAGGACGCAAAAGCACATAACTAGCTTACACCACCCCAAGTCTACCAGCATCCACAGTCATGTCTAGAAGCATTGCTGCAATCTCCAGAGGCGCATTACAGAAATGGAATTAACTTCACCGACTTGCTTTTGGAGACGCTGTGAAAACGAGCGACTATTCGCTATGACCGCGCGCACATTGAAAAACTCTAATGCATAACGTAAACCTTTGGATGACAGACTGCATTAGTTCTGTCGGGGTTACGTAAACTATAATTTGATGCCTGTCAAGATCGAAGAATGATTCGACACAATCTACGTTATTAAACGCCTGTTAACAAATTATTTCAATTACCACTTTCGCGAATAAAAGAGCAATGGATTATAAACATCCTCAAGACAAGTAAAAATCTTTGGGAATTGTAACTGTTGCTCCAAACTACGATGCGATACTTCAGGATTCCTTGCCCTGAAAAACATAGGGAACCAATTCTAAAAAGTTTTAGGTGATTAGTAGGCAGAACATAGCGCCAAATATTATTATACGGCCGCCATTTGGGAAAATCCAAAATGGCGCCATACGCGGGGGATGCCCGCAAATGATAACATTGTTCGAATCCTCATGTTATAACCTTTTCAAAAATGCATAGATTTGCTAATCTACCATGATTCTGAACGAAATTTAATTTATTGACATAGTGAACCTGACTATATGTCTGTAAAACATTTGCTACACTACATCGTTCCTTAGGAATTAATTTGCTTAACGAAGCGACCACGCGCAATCAGAGATGGATAAAATGGCAGGAGGCTGAACATTTTGTTCCATGTGAACTAGTTTCACTGGGGTTAACTTTTCGATTAAAGGGGGCGAACAACGTTACATCGTTTAATCAGCATGTGAAGTGGTTGAGAGCGAGATTTTGGGTGATACTCCATTAGGCGTGTTCCCAACTTTAATGTTATTAATGGTCATAATAACATATATATATATATATATGGTCATATATTAGTTTGTGGTTTAATGTCATTTAGGTTAGGGTTAGGGTTAGGATTATCAATCATTAATCATTAATTATTAATGATATCAAAGTTGGGAACACTCCTAATGGAGCATTAGCCGAGATTTTGAAGCTTTGCCGACCTTTTTTTCCAGCATCGGGTCGTTCCTTATTCTCCCAGCCTATACCACCATCTCCACTGCTCCAGCCGAAGTCCTGAAAGTCGGAAATCACACCATAGAACAGATGACAAATTTTAAGAATGCTACATTTTCGGTACACCTAACCCACTCCTGCCGCATTCATACCTTCATTTATACCTTTCCTGCCTTTAATTCATAATGCTATCAGTATATTATTACAAATTTTTCTCAAAAAATCACCATCTCGTGGTGTCTCGAATATAGTAAAAAAACATATTTAGGCAATATTCAGTATAAGCATTGCAATACATGTCGTTTCAAACCTACACCCTCTTTGATCTGCGTTTGGTCATTCCCTTATTTGTTCCCGTTTGCTTTCAGGACATCGATGGTCTTGTTGATGACATCAATGAGTTCATTGACACTGTTGTAGATGAGCTAACAGGTAGAGTATTCATGCGCCATAAGCTAAGACAAAATAGTTCATGTCATAGTAATTTCTGTTCATACCGGACATAGGTTCTAAAGAACAGGCATGAGTGCTTTCGCTCTGGCTTGATACATTAATCTACGATCATTATCCAGGTGAAGTGATTTTATTTATTACGCTCTAGGTGTGATCGACATTGTCCTACATCCATTGCTAACCGAATTCAAAGCAACCTTTGACTATCTGGAAGATGAGGCTACCGATATCGACAACAGTGAGTCATAAATTTCCTTAAAACATCTTAACAGTACAACAGTACCTTACCGCAAACTCGCACTCGCATTTTACGACATGCCAGCTCTCTGAAGCTGCAATACGAAAAAAACACGTCGCAACTCGCACGTCATTACTCAAATATTCAAATTCAAATTCAAATAAGTTTTATTGCTCAAATATCTCACAGATACATTGGCAAAATAATTATAACAATAAACATACAAGTACTGCAATAATGCATGAATAGCTAGATGAATAGAACGGGAAAAGTACGTTGAAGGTTATTGCGAGATTATTGCGTCGTCGTCGTCGTCTTTCCAGGCATTTCGACCATCAGTGCCATCTCCACTCAGCTCGTCGCCGGCTTGACCGACATGCAATCGGACATGACCGCCCTGGACACCGGACTCGCCGCCGAAATGACCACCCTCGACGGTTTGAAGACGACGTGCGACGGGACCCCGCCGAACGGAGACTCAGCTTTCTGCAACACCCTGCTGCTTAGCACCGATCCGCCGTTCTCTTCCCTGCCTGACGTCACCGGATTGAGCGTGCGTATAATAATAATAATAATAATAATGTTTCTGCAGCGCAAAGGCGTTAAAATGGCGTGCGTGCAAGTCGCAGTGACTTCACAGGATTGAGCGTGCGTATTATAATAACAAGAGCGTATAACAAGAGTGTATTAAGCGTAACAGCATACTTAATACGCTCTTGATGATAATGATGATGATTCCGTTTCTGCGAAGGCATTAAAAACGGTGCGCGTGCAAGTCACAGTTTCTGCAAGCATCCGAATTGAAGACGTTGGTCGTTGGTGAAGAATACCCGACAGTGATTTCGTTCGACATGGCACTGTACGAGAAGGTAGTGCAGTTACTGGATTCAAGACTTGATCTGAAAGGAGCAGTTGTCCCCAGACTGGGTCAGCTACATGCTGTGATGGCTGCGCTGAGAGATCTGGAAACGTCCATAGAAAACTCATGAATAGATGATGCGTGGATTGAGGCTGACGCACAACCAGACAGATCCTCAAGTGCGCCCACTACAAGAAAACTCGTCGTGCACACATCCACACTTATATGGCTCTATATGAACTTGTCCTGGAACAGTTCTTCACAGAGAAGCCCAACCTTAAAGCCATTTGCGTAGAACCAGCAGATAAGGTCCAGGAAGCTTGAGCAAAATCAGCAGTTGACAGAAGCTCAAATCCAGAAAGCGTGACAAGGACCAATGACGATCTACTACAACCCATTCAACAGCTGAAAATGTGAGAAGCGCAGAAATCCTCAAATGCAATGTTCAACTTTTTGATGAACTACATCCACCGGATTGAACCCATCTTGCACTTTGATGAGGCATCCAGGAATTCCGATCTCGTTCTCCACCTTCAAGCTGGGGAGGCACTAAGCAAGTTATTCTTCGCCATGGATCGAATAAAATACAAGCGCCTCTGGCCACGTTACATCGCAGACATGCATGAGTTGAGGACAAGCCATCCAGAAACCTGGCGTGAACTTCAATACGGAAACTTATCTGTGACCAAGAGTACGATTCCATTTGTCTCGATTGGAGCAGATCACGCATGTGAACAACTCAACAGGATGATGAAGATACATTCTGGGTTAATTGACATTCCCAATAATGCCAACGCTCGTCAACGGTTCTTCTTGGCCACTCCTGAGATGTCACGTCTTTCAGCTGAATTCAATGGCCAATTCAATCTTGCTGTAAACAAGCCACAAGAGCATCATCATGTTCAACCAAGTGCTGTGAGGAAAGCGCATGACAACGTTGATCGCATAAAGGCTGCCATACTGAGTCACGGCAATCCCTTTGCTGCTGAAGGTGACCAGCTCTACAACTTCATCACACATACATATGTCCCACAAGAGAGTGTCTCACAGATCCTGAATATCGACGACACTGGGCAGAAGCTGTATGTGGATTACGTTGCAGAACGCATGAATGGAGATGTCAGCCTCTGGGCACCAGTCAAGAAGCAGAACAACAGGCTGTACATGTCAGGAAACAAGAAGCAAACGGTAAAGATCCGTGACCAGTCAGTAGATCTGAAAGAAACAAAAGATTAGCCGTGACATCGATCAGAAGCATGCGATTGGGAACTACGAGTTCACTCTTACCCCCAGAGCACTGTTTGCACTCGACGGTTCGATCCTACCATGTACTGACAAGTCAAAGCTTATCCATAGCCTTGACAACTTTGGTAAAACGACAGAAACTCATGCTGATGCACAAGCAGCAGAAGCATCAGAACAGGCTAATGATATTGCTGATACAGGAACGCCATCTACATCACCATCTACGAAAATTGCTGTTGTTGATGGAATGGTGCTCGTCCAGAAGATGACAAAGAAACCAGCGACAATCACCACAGTCAAAGATCTCGGTCATCATTTCAACGACCACCTTATGAACATGACAGCAGGATCCGACGTGATTATCCTGGTGTTGGACACATACAAGGCAGACTCATTTAAGCAGAAAACCAAAGAGAAACTACGACAAGGCAAGGACCCTGTTCAATACCAGATTGCAGATGATACAAACATCAAACATATACCAATGGGCCGCTTCCTATCTCACGAATAGACGAAAGCTGATATAACCATATACCTTGCTGAGGCAACACTGGAATATAACGTAAACTCTCCTAAGTTAATCATCACGTCAGCATCGGGCCATACTAGAAGCAACCAGAGCATGCAGTTTGACCCAAACAACCACGAGGAAGCTGACACATTGATGGCCATGGTATCAGGTATGGTGGAGGTAGGACCCATCTGGAGAGCGCTAAGAAGAGACAAGACAACAGCGTTACTTGTATTCCACGCATTCACTGGGGCAGACAATGTCGGTCGATTCTCAGGAGTAGGTAAAACGAAATGGTTTCAACACTACATCAAGGCTGAAAGGAACACAGTCAAAGCACTAATAAAACTACCAGAGGACGACGATCTAATGCAGGAGGTGAAAGACATATTGGCCAGCTTTGTATGCTTAGCGTACGTACTGCCCAAAAGGTATTCAGATCGCAAGTATCCCTGACCTCATATGGCATCTGTTTTGCAAACATCCGGCAGAAAATAACAAGNAAACTTTTTAAAATATGCTAATCCTATGTTTTCAGGGACAAGGAATCTATTGGTGACATAACCAGACTTCTAACTGTAACACTTGGTATTTTTTCAGGAAATATTGTCATTAAAACAAACAAAAATCCATTAGTATATAGCATATATTAACCCTTTCACTGCGGGTCTCGGCCGTGGCCGGGACATCGTGCATGACTTGATATAGCTGCTGCAGAAGTTGCACATGAGTGGCCTACCATGCTGACTGTCATTCTGCAAGCATCCGAATTGAAGACGTTGGTCGTTGGTGAAGAATACCCGACAGTGATTTCGTTCGACATGGCACTGTACGAGAAGGTAGTGCAGTTACTGGATTCAAGACTTGATCTGAAAGGAGCAGTTGTCCCCAGACTGGGTCAGCTACATGCTGTGATGGCTGCGCTGAGAGATCTGGAAACGTCCATAGAAAACTCATGAATAGATGATGCGTGGATTGAGGCTGACGTATACGGCTCTGCCACAACCAGACAGATCCTCAAGTGCGCCCACTACAAGAGAACTCGTCGTGCACACATCCACACTTATATGGCTCTATATGAACTTGTCCTGGAACAGTTCTTCACAGAAAAGCCCAACCTTAAAGCCATTTGCGTAGAACCAGCAGATAAGGTCCAGGAAGCTTGAGCAAAATTAGCAGTTGACAGAAGCTCAAATCCAGAAAACGTGACAAGGGCCAATGACGATCTACTACAACCCATTCAACAGCTGAAAATGTGGGAAGCGCAGAAATTTTCAAATGCAATGTTCAAGTTTTTGATGAACTACATCCACCGGATTGAACCCATCTTGCACTTTGATGAGGCATCCAGGAATTCCGATCTCGTTCTCCACCTTCAAGCTGGGGAGGCACTAAGCAAGTTATTATTCGCCATGGATCGAATAAAATACAAGTGCCTCTGGCCATGTTACATCGCAGACATGCATGAGTTGAAGACAAGCCATCCAGAAACCTGGCGTGAACTTCAAGACGGAAACATATCTGTGACCAAGAGTACGATTCCATTTGTCTCGATTGGAGCAGATCACGCATGTGAACAACTCAACAGGATGATGAAGATACATTCTGGGTTAATTGGCATTCCCAATAATGCCAACGCTCGTCAACGGTTCTTCTTGGCCACTCCTGAGATGTCACGTCTTTCAGCTGAATTCAATGGCCAATTCAATCTTGCTGTAGACAAGCCACAAGAGCATCATGTTCAACCAAGTGCTGTGAGGAAAGCGCATGACAACGTTGATCGCATAAAGGCTGCCATACTGAGTCACGGCAATCCCTTTGCTGCTGAAGGTGACCAGCTCTACAACTTCATCACACATACATATGTCCCACAAGATAGTGTCTCACAGATCCTGAATATCGACGACACTGGGCAGAAGCTGTATGTGGATTACGTTGCAGAACGCATGAATGGAGATGTCAGCCTCTGGGCACCAGTCAAGAAGCAGAACAACAGACTGTACATGTCAGGAAACAAGAAGCAAACGGTAAAGATCCGTGATCAGTCAGTAGATCTGAAAGAAACAAAAGATCTGTACGGTCGGTTGATGGTACTAGCCAGATCAAGCCGTGACATCGATCAGAAGCATGCGATTGGGAACTACGAATTCACTCTTACCACCAGAGCACTGTTTGCACCCGACGGTTCGATCCTACCATGTACTGACAAGTCAAATCTTATCCATGCATAGCCTTGACAACTTTGGTAAAACGACAGAAACTCATGCTGATGCACAAGCAGCAGAAGCATCAGAACAGGCTAATGATATTGCTAATACAGGAACGCCATCTACATCACCATCTATAAAAAAATCTCAAATTCTACAAAACTTCTGGCTGTTGCCGCCACGTATGTTGTCTCTCCAAATGAAACAACGCTTCTGCCAAACACAACATCGATAGCCGCCATAGGTATCAGGTATGGATGAAGGTAGGACCATATGGATGAGCGCCTAAGAAGAGACAGACCAACAGCGTTACCTTATTGCACGCATCACTGGGGCAGACATGTCGGTGCGATCTCAGGGAGTAGGTAAAACGAATGGTTTCAACATAACATCAAGGCTGACAGAAAGACACAGTCAAAGCACTAAATAAAAGCTACCAAAGGACGACGATCTAATGGCAGGGAGGTGAAGACATATTGGCCGCCTTTGTCATGCTTAGCGTCACTGCCAAAAGGTATTCAGATTCGCAAGTATCCCTCCTCAGATGCATCTGTTTTGCAAACATCCGCGCAAGAAGTAACAAGTTGCCTCCAACACTGCTGCCTCTGAGGAGCATATCGAACGTGTGGCGCGAATACAGAGCTAGAGTTTTGGTGCCAGCCACCGTCATGTGGCAACTAGCTGTCTCGACCGCACACAACACATGGCTACCAATCAGGCACTACAAAAGGTCACATACTACCTATCACACCCAAGTTCTACAAGCCCGACAGTCATTGTAAAGCTAATTGCTCAACCAGAGGTGCTTCATGTAGAAGAATGACTTACTTGCACGACCTTTGCTTGTGTGGAACGGACTGTGAAAACGAGGGACTGTATTGTCGGCTTATGACACGCAGGACAGTGAAGATGAACTCTAAATGGCATATTCTGTAAACTGGTGTTGTGTATGTTAGCAGTACTGCAGTGTATGTGCTGTTCGGTTGTTACTAGCCTATTCAGTTCTGATGCCTGTCTAAGGATATGAATGATTGAGCACCATCTTCGACGTTATTAAACTGCCTGTTAACAACATGTATTTATTATGCGCACTTTCGGCGAATATAAAGACAACGATTGTTTGGCAATCGGTGTAAAAATCTTTGATTTTTGTATTAGTGTTTCCATAACACTGTACTTCGACTACTTTCATTGATTCCGCTTGTCCTGAAAACATAAGGCTAACCATATTTGTAAAAAGTTTTTAGCTAGTGGGTTGTATTAGCTAATGGCACCCAGAAATACGGGCCAATATGGCTATCTATATGGGGCTTTTTGAAAATCCAAAATTGGCGCGGCCCATACCGGTATCTCCGCAAATGTAAACATTGTTTTTCGAATTCCTCATGTTATAACCTTTCCAAAAATGCATAGATTTGCTAATCTACCATGATTCTGAACGAAATTTAATTTATTGACATAGTGAACCTGACTATAGCCTTGGAATACCTACGATTTACTACGCGTAACTCAACCAACTTGAGCTCAAATCGTACACATTCACCTAGCATCGTGTGAAATTGTTTCCTCGTATACACAAGCAATCCGGAGATAGTCTAAAACGTACGACACGATTATCCATTCTTTGGCCATCAATCCAGGCTTATTCCCCACCGAACTTGAAACAAAAGGCAGCTACTAACGCAGCGTTGCTCACTCGGCGAAGCGGTGTGGCTCGCTGGGAGATTGCAGCTGGAGCTGCTGCTGATTGCGGTGAACGTGCGTGCGTGGGGGGCATACCAGCTGTATGCCGGGTCAAAGGTTATCTCGCCGAGTTTTGCGTCGACGGCCACACCACCTCGCCCGCGAGTGAGCAAGGCTGCGTTAGTAGCTGCCTTTTGTTTCAAGTTCGGCGGGGAATACGCTCGGATTGATGGCCAAAGAATGGATAATCGTGTCGTACGTTTTAGTCTGTATCTCCGGATTGCTTGTGTATACGAGGAAACGATTTTGCACGATGCTAGGCGAATGTACTGTGTACGATTTGAGCTCGTTGGTTGAGTTACGCGTAGTAAAACGTAGGTATTCTAAGGCTAGTAATAGTAGTAGTATAGACTTTTCCTTGTTTATTGAAGTCACACTCCTTCACTATTATCTACTCCTGATGCATATGTAGTACCTGAATCCTGATACGACAACGACCCCTTCAGCGCCACTGCCAGACTCTGATACTCAGGGGCGGATTCAGACGGTATTTGCCGTATTGGGAAATACGGTCTAGATTTCAAAGTGCCCTTCGAAATTTTGCGGTAAAAAATACAGAAAACAATTTGATGGAATTTGGCTATATTCTTTATTTGTTTTCTTTTTCTTATGATTCATTGACAAGGACTTGAAGGAAATCAAAATTTTACATGGTAACAAAACTAGCTTTGATATCTGAAAAAGAAGGGAAGTGCTTGAATCATTATGCATTAATTGCTGGTATGCAAAGCCCCAGCAAACACGGAACATTCTCGTAACATTCGCTGGAGGTTCTAGTTTGGTTACATTAGCCAAAAATATTCNTTCCATATTCGTCATTGGTGTGTGATGTTGGACTAAAAATAGCCTGCTGGTATTTATAAGACACCCTAATTCTCAGTGTGAAGCTAAAAATCAAAGATCTAAAATTGAGTTTATGAAGGTACTCAACACTCTGCTGCCCACTACTTTAAGTCTCCTTGTCCTATATAGTGTAGAGGCCCAAAACTATGATTGACTATTTATTCGTAGGGAGTGAGGAGTGAGGTTATATTCTCTTCAAGAGCAGACAAAACTCATTTATCGTAACGCTGACCATATAGCCGTATTATTTACTGAAACTAGATAGTAGAGACTGCATACACTCCCTAGTAGTATGATAAGAAAAATGTATATATACCTCAATATGTCTCACTTTCATAATTATAACTACTGCGAGAGAACGTGCAAGTCATTGACAGACGGCTTTCACTTATCGCAGATGATCTCTCGCAAGCGTGGAACTATCGTCAACATTTCCTCTGACAGCGCTCGAGTGCCTTACCCGTTCCTGGCCACCTAGAGTGCAACAAATACATTCGTCGACTTCTTAACAAGGTCGCTGGAGGCGGAACTGCAAGGCACAGGGGTGATTATTCATGTAAGTTTTTCAAACATCCTTCATGTGTTGGGATGTGCCTTTTCAATGATCATCTCCTGTTACTAGATTTTATTCTTCAACATATTAACAGATCGAACTTCAAGTATACAACATGTCAACAAATTACAAACATAATAGTCTCTGAAACTTCATTCACAAGTTATGTACCTATAAATTCAATCAAAAAGTCAAAACGTAGTTTGTTCAGGAAGGGCGATTTTGTTCGTATGTGTTGGTAAAAGTACATACTTAGCTTTCTTAAATACTAAATTAAAAAAAGATCATGCATTGTTTTTCTGCAACCCCGGGTTCCTTGTACATTAAATGGGCATCTCTAGACGTGCCTGTCTCAGTCGCAATTCTAATTACTTCGATCCTCAGGGAGTGTTGCCAAGATAATTTTGTTGCTACAAAGATGTCGTTAGAGGACGTGAGCTTCTACTGTCCGTCCGCGTCGGTGTATGTCCGTAGCGCCCTCACTACCATCGGGGAGCAGTCTCGCACGAGCGGCTACCTTGTACACGCTCTGCAGGTGGGTGGACGATCGCCAAGCGGGCTGGCGTCATCGGTTCTCATATGTACTATCTCTGCCACCCGCAGGGAGTATTGCATTTTTTTCGCATGTCAGGAAAAAGCTTGTGGATCGATGGCTAAATTTCATCCAAGATACCTTATTGACTCTCCCATTATCAGATAGTTATGGAATTCCGTGTTATAAATGGTAGTGTTGTAAAATAGTTATTAGTTAGTATAAATTTATACTATGTATTACATATTAATATTCTCATTTTATATTAGTAAGACATAAGATAGACATTTGTGAATAATAAATGATACAATTGCTATTGGTTCCAAGTGAAATTTATTTATGCTTGTGGTATATGTAGATGTAATGTGTACATTTAGATGTTGATAATAATCACTGCAAGAAAAATACCTATATTTACAGAATATCCAGTTTTTTTCAGGTCCTCCTCATAAAATGTTCCAGATTTCGTGGTTTTCAAATTCATTAAATTGGAAATGGCAGAAGAGAATGGAGTCGATCCAAGTAACATAGTTGGGTTCTAGCACCATCAAGTTTTCACTTAGTGCCACATAACAATTGCTATACGTACTGACTAGATGCTTAAGTTAATATTAAATGAAACTTTATTCAGAAATGAAAGCAATTAGTCGAACTGTTGACGTTTTTAACCTGTGGGGTAAACCTACATAGCACGATTATAATTACAGGGAGGATTTTCTAAGTTTTATTGTCTTCATTTAATGAAAAATGTTACATACATTTTATATTCTCTTTTGAATCTTATTCAATTTTAGTTTTTTGGCATATGTACATTTTAATTGTTTTTTAAAGTTCCATTTTGAAGTAGTTGAAGCCTTTTTTGTAATATTCAGAGGAGGCTTCGTTTGATTCACAGAAATACATGTAAACATGCTTCATTGGCAATCACGCACAATTATGTATAATTGGAATTACAATATTTTATGTATTCAGTTTTGTCTTAGATACTAGCTGGTTATACAAATTTGTAAATAAAATAAATGATAACAAATATGATGTTATAGTTAATTATACTGTTATAAATGATTACATATCTATAGAAGATGCTTAAAAAATATTTCTATCATCAATATAGATGTTAGAAAATCTTTTAGGCCAAAACAGTTACAGTACAATAATGAGCCTAAAAATTGAATGATAAAATGTATGTCCACCTAGGAATTTGTAAAACGTAATATGTAACATTTACTGAACCCAATATAAACCAAAGTAATCCTCTACAATGTCTGCTAAGTTATACACTTATATGATGAACGATAAATCTTCAATTTCGGTGAAGCATATACGTAGCGAATTGTATAAAACCAAACATAGTGCATTGCTATCACACATTCCTAATATGCCAAGCGAGTTCACCGAGTGTGTCCGCTAAATGTTTTCATGATATTCCTCCACAGCCAAGCACACCCACAGTTGGTTCCATTACGTTCCTCCTAGCCAAAGCAAGCACGTCATTGCTTAACCCATCGCTCCTCAGTTAATTCCATCCTCGCCTGGTTCTGCTCCACTATTCAGGCATCCGTCTTCTGCTTCTTGCGCTCGTGAAGTTCTTGAACTTGCGTTTCCTCTTGTCACTGCTCGCCTTTAGATTGCGCTTCAGTTCGATGTGCTTCTCTCTCTCCTCCTTTGACCACGATAGTGCAGATGTGCCTGCAAGCACCGAGGAGCACATGAAAATCAAACGCAAGGAAGAACTGACTCGTGAGGAACAAGGAAGCATAGGGTGAAGGAACAAGGAACATGAGGTGAACCGTTCACATAAGGTGAAGGAACAAGGAACATGAAGCGGGTTGCGTGCAATAACTCGCATCAGTCACGATGATGCGTGGGCCGTAAAGTACTGGATTTAATCAATGCATCCTTAAAACAGTGGAGATCAGAATCCTCACTCAACGGATTCTCTATACCATACGCTCGATACAATGCTCCCAATGCTGCCGATGTATAGTTGTAATAATAGGACCAGGTCGATTCGATCCTGTAACTAAACTCATAATAAACTTTTTTAACTTACGTAACATCAGTAGTAGGAAACTGTGACATCAAATCATTATAGATCTACACAATATTGATGAAACTTTTGAATAACAGAAGTGTATGTCTGTATGGTAGACTTAGCATAGTGATATCTTACAATAGTAGCACAACGCGTTGACCAGCCCCTGTCTACAAGACGTAATTGGCTCCAGATACTCGGAAAGCATATATATACAGTTTCCAATTCCGGTTTTTGTATGGTTCTGGGATTATCATCCGGTTAGACACGCCTGTAGCGGTACCGGTATCGGATAGTCTATTAGCATACGTTTTTACATTGGTCAAATGTTGAAACAAAGAATGCAAACCAAAGCCAATCAGCAGGCTAGCCTGTTTCATTGGAATCCTCCTCCTAGGTACCCACGCAATCTTCTCTGTTGCGTTCCAATTTTAGTATTTGTACAGCCGAAGCTTGTTAAATGGTATGCTCCGAATTTATAGAGTAAGCATAGCTGGTAGCACCGACTACGGTGTGGCTAGCGTTATTTCGTCTTTGCGTGTGAATAAACAAACGTTACATATCCCCCGGCCGTTACACACTTCTGCAGGTCTCCACACAATTTTAAAACAAGTTTTCGGTCTCATAGTTATACGTTAGGTCGATTTTAAAGCGAAAATAGTTCAAATAGTTTGTGTGTACAGTTACGTCGCGTTCACTGTATGGTGCTGCCCCTAGTGGCAGCTACTGTACGAAAATCCTGGTTACCGCTGCCCTTTCCGCAATCTTCGTTTTTTTTCTTGCGTTCTTTTCGCGTTTTTTTTTAGCCAACGCAACAGAAAAGATTGCGTGGGTTCCTAACCCCCATGACCTCCATGACGAGAAAAAAATGAGAAAAGAAGATGAAGCGTGTATTTCACAATACGTACGTCACCGCGCGGCAGCACGGTGGCACGCACTACATAGCATGTACAGTAGCGTAATGTTATGATACACGCGTGGTGATCATACACACACGCATGCACTCAAACACGCAACCACCTTCTAACTTGAACCCCTAGGTCATTTGTGCTAAGGTTGCTGGTTAATGACTGATGCGAGTTATTGCACGCAACCCGCTTCACCACAGCATCAACCCGCTTCACCAACCGCTTCACTATGTTAGGCCCTACCACAGGCATTTGAATCGTTTCAATAAAATATAATGCTAAATAAATACGAAATCTATTTACTACCAAAGTCTTAATGTTTCTCTACTCTCTTTCACCTATTATTGCCAACAATTTCCTGTAAATGCCGTCCAAATGCTCATCTGCAAGACACTGTCACACGCTGGCCGCCGCACGCTAGCTGCTGCACACTGACACATAACTATATATTTATGTGTCAGTGTGCAGCAGCTAGCGTGCGGTGTACTTGTGTGTTGCAGATGAGCATTTGATCGGCATTTACAGGAAATTATCGGCAATAATAGGCGAAAGAGCGCAGAGAAACATTGAGACTTTGGTAGTAAATACATTTCGTGTTTGGCCCCCGCCTTCGCGCGCCGAATGCGCACCGTGTGCGGGGGCCTTTACCATAATTTTTTTACGTTCATAATATGCATACTCATACATGTACATGTATGATGTACATACTCATATGCATATACATAGCAGTGTAACAGTATTGTACACGCACGAACGCACACACACACACATATAATTATAAATATACACATGTAAAATACATATAGGTATATATAGGGATAGGGTTAGGTTTATATACAGTTACATGAGCGAATAGCGACAAATATTATTTTCATTTGCTCCTGATATAGTTACAATATGAGCGCTGAAGGTGTCGTGTCACGTTACAAAGGCTACGGACGGTATCGGGAAGCAGTATACACTGCAGCTGCTAGCAGAGCTCGGTTTGAACATTGTGCTCGTCGGCCGCTCGCCGGAGAAGCTGAAGGCGACGAATGATGAGGTTCGCGCGCGCGGCAACGTGCAGGTGAAGACGGTCGTCGTCGATTGCAGCGGCGGCAGGGAGATATACGCAGACGTCGAGCGGAAGCTGAGTGAGCTGGAGATCGGCGTGCTGGTCAACAACGTCAGCATAGCGTACCCAGGCTTCTACAGCGACTTCCTGGCCATCAGCAGGGATTATCACGCGGATATGATCAACGTCAACAACCTGTCATACGTCATGATGACGCACATTGTGCTGCCGCAGGTTTGGTGGTCTTGTTCATGTTAGCTTAATTAATTCATGTATCTGTTGGTGCTCGGCAAAAGGTTGTTGAAAATGGTTGTTGCGGAGCGAATGGCCATATGTGTAGAGCCATATGCCATTGTCGGAGCTGAATACGGTAGAAGGTAGACTATTAACTGAGTAGAATATCCTTGATATAGGGTAGGCTTTATTCCATATTCGTCATTGGTGTGTGATGTTGGACTAAAAATAGCCTGCTGGTATTTATAAGACACCCTAATTCTCAGTGTGAAGCTAAAAATCAAACATTTTATATTCTCTTTTGAATCTATTCAATTTTAGTTTTTTGGCATATGTACAATTTTAATTGTTTTTAAAGTTCCATTTTGAAGTAGTGAAGCCTTTTTGTAACTTCAGAGGAGGCTTCGTTTGATTCACAGAACTTTAATTACATGTAAACATGACATTCATTGGCAATCACCGCACAATTATGTATAATTGGAAATTACAATATTTATGTATCAGTTTTGTCTTAGATACTAGCTGGTTATACAAATATTTGTAAATAAAATAAATGATAACAAATATGATGTTATAGTTAATTATACTGATTATAATGATTACATATCTATAGAGATGTTAAAAAATATTTCTATCATCAATTAGATGTTAGAAAATTCTTTTAGGCAAAACAGTAACAGTACAATAATGAGCCTTAATAAAATCAGAATGATAAAATGTATGTCACCCTAGGAATTTGTAAACGTAATATGTAACATTTGCTGCAACCAATATAAACCAAAGTAATCCTCTACACATGTACTGCTAAGTTATACACTATAGTTGATGAGCGAATAAATCTCAATTTCGGTAAAGGCATATACGTAGGAATTGTATAAAACCAAACATAGTGCATTGCTATCACACATTCCTAATATGCCAAGCGAGTTCACCGAGTGTGTCCGCTAAATGTTTTCATGATATTCCTCCACAGCCAAGGCCCAAGCACACCCACAGTTGGTTCCATTACGTTCCTCCTAGCCAAAGCAAGCACGTCATTGCTTAACCCATCGCTCCTCAGTTAATTCCATCCTCGCCTGGTTCTGCTCCACTATTCAGTGCATCCTTCTTCTGCTTCTTGCGCTTTGTGAAGTTCTTGAACTTGCGTTTCCTCTTGTCACTGCTCGCCTTTAGATTGCGCTTCAGTTCGATGTGCTTCTCTCTCTCCTCCTTGACCACCGATAGTGCAGATGTGCCTGCAAGCACCGAGGAGCACATTGAAAATCAAACGCAAGGAAGAACCTGACTCGTGAGGAACAAGGGAATCAGCAATAGCGGGCCGAAGCGTGGGGACGCTTACAGGCAAGGGTTGTGATGAATGATTACTTCGGTGGTCCTCAACCCCATTTTCACTGCTACTCAAATTTTAGTTGTGGAGCTAGCATGGCGACCAAGGCCTTCAGCCACAACTAGACCTCTGGGAAAACTTAAGACATTAAGTGGAAATACTTGGTGACACACTTAAAAATGATTTGGTGACCCACTCCTCGGTCACGACCCCCGCCATCAAGAACTTCTGCTCTGCACGTTAACTCTCGTAACCTCGTCTGAATGAGCTGGCAAGTGAGCACCGCTTGTATGCCATGAGGAATGTGTGTGTGTGGGGGTGTGCGTGGGGGGGGGGGTGCAACACGTACCAGTGAGCCGTGGCAGCTGCAGGCTCCCCGCCATCGTGGGATACGCCATCGAGTACTGGCGCGGGAACACTGGCGTACGAAGCATCGCAGCCAGCTGACGATGCGCCGCCTTGATTTGCTTGCGAACGCGCGCTTCTTGCCCATAGTCGCTGCCATGTCGTATGCTAAACGCTCTGTCAAGGAAGCTAATGCGAAGTATCGCAAGCATTGCTTACATAGTTCACGCTATACACCGATTTACATCACGATCGTGCAACCAGTGGCAAAATATACAATTATACAACACATATTTATTTTATACAACACACAAGTGATCAATGGAGAGTGATAGTTTAGCCCCCATGAACAAGCTAATGCCATTTTCCATCCATGATTACGTATGTCAAAAGGGAAAAGACAGCAGACATTGATTATGATGATATAACCAGCATGCAATGTGTGACGTTATCCGCATTTATTCATATAAGCTTTACTCATATATTACTTTGTATGATTAAGTCACAACTAAAGTGTATCAATTCACACAGTGCATATAGCCTATAGGGCATCGTTTTTGGGGATATATTGCTCAACTAGTACACCTGCACGTAGAAGTATTGCAATTAAACACTTTAGCAACTTTGAGGCCACAACTCACAGACACAATAGCATATAATGTATTCTATTCTCAGACTCACACTTGCCCACGAGCACACACAGATGCAGAAAACTTATTCTCTAAGTGAGGATACAGATCTTCGTCTAGATCGATGTCCATCTCCTCAGCGGCTTTCTGGAACCACTCGACGCGGCTGGTCTCCTTTCTGAGCCCATGCTCAAGCTTGTCGAGCTCCAACGCCATCTGTAGGCGCTCCTTGATCGCTGGAAGGTACTGCCTGTCGATGGGAAATGCCGGCAGGTCCTCGACTGTACAAACAGTACAAAAACAAGGGCAAACTAGAATGATTGTCCCAGAGAGGGACTAATAATACCCCCCCCCCCACTTCCAGCTGTTATAGTGCCTGTGATATGTGAGAGCATGACTGGTGACGCTCATCTGGAAGCGCAGCAACTGTATGGCAAAGCAGGTGGTATTAATGAACGGACGTCGCAGGGCCTGTGGCTGTATATGGCTGGTTACTATAGACACTTATGATGCAGTAGTGGCTGGGCAGATACATATCAACGAACAGATGGCAGGAGCATGTCATATATAAGAACGTGGCAGTTATTTATATATGTGCTTATCTGAAGGGGCGATCGTTTGGCAAACAACTGGCACGAATTAAGGCGGGGGGGGGGGATTTGATTGTACGCGTGTGGGAGCTATTAACGACTTGGTAGTGGCTGGCAGTTATGTATGAAGTGGCTGGGCAGTTATGTATGAAATAATCCACTAGATGGTGTCAGCATGTTATATATTACCAAATGGGTTTATTTACAAAAAACGGCCATAAATCTTTCCAAAAATGTCGGACCCAAAAACTCCATCACAGGTCAACAACTATCTTGGGTACTGATGATGTGTACCAAATATGGTTGAAATCGGTCCAGTACTTTTCGAGGAGATCTGTGCACAAGGGTGGTGTCGGACAGACAGACAGACAGACAGGGTGATTCCAGTATACCACCCCCCCTAACTTCGTTGGCGGGGGTATAAAAATGGACTGTGAGCATTAGTTAAACTGCACAAGTTGGGGTATGGTGTATGGTGGCCGAGGGCTGCCACTACAATTTTACCTCTGAAATAAATAAAAGCAAAAAATAAAACAAAAATATTAAAATCAAATTCAAAACGAAATCAAAATCGAAATCAAAATCAAAATCAAAATCAAAATCAAAATCAAAATCAAAACGAAATCAAAATCGAAATCAAAATCAAAATCAAAATCAAAATCAAAATCAAAATCAAAACGAAATCAAAATCAAAATCAAAATCAAAATCAAAATCAAAATCAAAATCAAAATCAAAATCAAAATCAAAACGAAATCAAAATTAAAACGAAATCAAAATTAAAAGTAAAGTGAAGGAGGAAGCATACGACCAGCTTCTCCCCCTCCTCCTTCTCCACCAGCCTTTCTCCCTTCTCCCATCCTCCGTCCACCAGCTCCCTCTCCCCCTCCTTCTCTCCTTCCTCCGTTCTTTCCAACATGCTTTCCCCCTCCTCATCCACCAGCTTCTCCCATTCCTCCTTCTCCACCACTTCTCTCTTCTTCCCTTCCTCCTTCTCCACCAGCTTCTCCCCCTCTCGCTTCTCCACCAGCTTCTTCCCGCCTCCTTCTTCATCCACCTTCTTCCCTCCATTCTCCTCCTATCTCCTTCTCCACCAGCTTTTCCCCTCCTCAACCACTTCTCCTTTATCCCCTCCTCCACCCCAGCTTCCTTCTCCCCTCCTTGATCCCTTCTCCCTTCTCTCCCTCCTACCCCCTCCACCAGCTCCCTTCTCCCCCTCCTTCTCCACCAGCTTCCTCCCCCTCCTCCACCACCCTTTCTCCCTCTCCCCCTCCTCACCACCTTCTCCCTTCTCCCTCCTCCTCCACCACCTTCTTTTCTTCTCCCCTCCTCCTTCTCCACCCAGCTTCTCCCTGGCCTCCTTCTCGCTCCTTGCTCCCCTCCTCCTTCTCATCTCCAGACTTCTCCCCCTCCTCCTTCTCCACCAGCTTTCTCTCTCTCCCCTCCTCCTGCACCAAGCCTCCCTTCTCCCCCTCCTTCTCCCTTTCCTCTTTTCTCCACAGTCTTCTCCTCCTTCTCCACCAGCTTCTCCCCTCCTCCACTACGTTCTCCCTTCTCCCCCTCCTCCTCCTCCACCAGCTTCTCCCCTCCTTCTCCACCACCTCTCTTCTCCCTCCCTCCTCCTTCTCCACCAGCGCTTCTTCCCCTCCTCTTCTCCAACACCTTCTCCCTTCTCCCGTCTCTCTCCGACCAGCTTCTCCCCTCCTTCTCCACCACCTTCTCTCTTCTCCCCCTCCTCCTTCTCCACCAGCTTCTCCCCCTCCTCCTTCTCCCTTCTCCCCTCCTCCTTCTCCACCAGCTTTCCCCCTCCTCCTTCTCCACCAAACCCCTTCTTTTCTTTCCCTCCTCCTTCTTCCACCCAGCTTCTGCCCATTCCTCCTTCTCCACCAGCTTCTTCCATTCCTCCTTCTCCACCACATTCTCCCTTCTCCCCTTCCTCCTTCTCCTCCAGCTTCTCTCTTCTCCCCCTCCTCCTTCTCACCGCTTTCTCCCCCGCCTCCTTTCTCAACACCTCCCTTCTTCCCCTCCTCCTTCTCCACCAGCTGTCTCCCCTCCTCTTTCTCACCACCTCTCTCCTTCTCCCCTTCTCTTCGTCCATTCCTCCTTCTCCACACCTTCTCCCTTCTCCTTCCAGCTTCTCCCTTGCCCCTTCCTCATTCCTAGCCATCATTGAGTCGCCACACGGTATTTATCTTATCCACACCGGGCGCCGTGGATAGTCACTTTCCATACGGGCCCCGCACTAACTTCAGTGTACGCGAAGGTTACTTGTATTGCCGGAGTGAAGTGGCGATACGGCGGTGACCAGTTCTTATATTGGCCAGCTCATCGGCCAACGCTGGAAAAAACTCGATTTCATTGGCCAGCTCTCGGGCCAACGGAAAACTGATTCACTTTGGCAGGCTCATCGCGCCAACGCTTCGTAAACTTCAT